TTACGACTAGCATAACCTGCTGGAGACCAATTCTAACCAGGAATACCCAAGGGGTCAGTGTTACATGCTGGGGATGTAATTGTATGTTGATGCATTGTTCATGTACCCAACACAAAACACGCTGCTTGTAGTGAAAATATGTGAGATTACGTAAAGAAGACCTAATGATTACCAGTGATTGCCAGGTGTGACCTAATTTCACAGTAATGATTCCCAGCAATTGCCAGGTGTGACCTACTTTCCTGATGATTCCCAGTGATTTCTAGGTGTGACCTATTTTTCCCAATAATGACTACCAGCGATTGCCAGGTGTGACCTACTTTCCTGATTGTCCGCCCTTCCTGTGGTCTGTGTAGATGTAGATGTCTGGCAGGAACTGGTTGAGCACCCCACGTGTCGCCTCCACTATTCTGTTGGTGATGGACGGTGACACCCTCGTCGCCCACCTGATGGTAGTTAAGTACCTCAAACTTGTATCTTAGCAATACTGGCCACTAACAATGACCTGGTAAGCACAGTTTTTCAACTTTGAAAAATCTTTACCTCAAGAGATACTACTGATTGAAAGAGAAATTATATATATGTTCTCAGTGTTTTTTCAATGATTATCCCTCTGCTATAGGTTTACTGGCCATCTTCCCAAGGCAAGGAAGTTAACTGACTACTAAAGTCCAGTTTCCACCCTTGTCGAACTAGGCTGGAATTCTGGAGTTACAGTTTGGCTGGACTAATGAGTCTATGACATCCGGTTCATAACATGGATTTCAATGTGCAGAAATCGTTCGACTACAGGATTTCCAAAGCATGTGTACCATGACATTATTGATTATTGATCAGATCGTGTTGAATGGGTGGCGCCAAGCAAACGCAAGTGATATGAGAGATGGCATCTGATTGGTCAATAAGAGAGACATACAAGGGGCATAACTCCACTGGTCGCGACGTTCGAGCCACGAAATTCCAGCCTAGTTCAGCAAGGGTGGAAACTGGACATTTGTAGTCAGTTAACGCCTTTGCCCGTGAAAATACGAGACAACAGACCAGCAGCTATTGGCAACGATGTTATTCTCCATGTCAAGGATACGCAACGCCTCTGATCCGCTTGACCTTGCCTGCCTCAGTGAACTGTATGGGACGGAGCTTCTGTCGGCATGGACAGCAGAACACAACCTCCCCTCCACCATCAGGGGCGGCACCGCGCCGAGTCACCTGGCAACAATGTGAACATGTTACAATATCTCCATCATTGGGGGTGCACAGTGACAGGTCGCCTGGCAACAATGTGAACATGTTACAATATCTCCATCATTGAGGGTGCACTGTGACAGGTTGCCTGGCAACAATGTGAACATGTTACAATATCTCCATCATTGAGGGTGCACTGTGACAGGTTGCCTGGCAACAATGTGAACATGTTACAATATCTCCATCATTGAGGATGCACTGTGACAGGTTGCCTGGCAACAATGTGAACATGTTACAATATCTCCATCATTGAGGGTGCACAGTGACAGGTTGCCTGGCAACAATGTGAACATGTTACAATATCTCCATCATTGAGGGTGCACTGTGACAGGTCGCCTGGCAACAATGTGAACATGTTACAATATCTCCATCATTGAGGGTGCACAGTGACAGGTCGCCTGGCAACAATGTGAACATGTTACAATATCTCCATCATTGAGGGTGCACTGTGACAGGTTGCCTGGCAACAATGTGAACATGTTACAATATCTCCATCATTGAGGGTGCACTGTGACAGGTTGCCTGGCAACAATGTGAACATGTTACAATATCTCAATCATTGAGGGTGCACTGTGACAGGTCGCCTGGCAACAATGTGAACATGTTACAATATCTCCATCATTGAGGGTGCACTGTGACAGGTCGCCTGGCAACAATGTGAACATGTTACAATATCTCGATGATCAGCGGCAGCTCCACTATGGGTCACTTATTTGTATCGTTGTCTACAGAATTTTATGCTAATGATCACATAAGCATTCTGTGAAGCTATTATTCTTGATTTTATTTATTCATAAGAATATTATTTTGCATTTATGTATATATAAACATAAAAATCGGTTTCACACTGCGTAAAACCTCCATAAACACAAAACATATTGAAGTCAACTTTCTAATATCTCCACCATCAAGGGTTCAACATAACAAGCCAACACTTTAAGCACCAGGCTTGACTGCCACTTAAATCAAGCAACACTATGCCACATCCACAGAGATGTCACTGACCTACCTTCAGTTCAAGGCCCTCATCTGTACCTAGAAACCTCTTCAACACAGGAAATGTTGACAGTTTGATTGAATCAACCTGAAATATGAAACAAACTCTCCATACTGATATCCTGTGTATAGTCTTACTGATGCATCTGTGTACAGAATGTTTTCACATATACCGGGTATACTTATTCTTACTCATGGATCAGTACAACAGGGATTTACCTGGACCTGACTTTGCCCGAAGACTGCAGCAAATGTCATTAATATTCCCAAATTGGAATTAAAACTATCCCCATTCATTATGTTCATGTAAATAATTAATTACTAATGTTTTACCTTTGTAGCGGTTAACCTGTTTTTCACTGATAGCAGGACCAATGAAGAACCTAAGGTTTCAATGCTTAGTTTCATATTATTTCATTGAATGCAATCTCAAAATACAATGTTAATACCTCTGGGTATAGGAAAATAAAAACCATTATAAAAAGCCCAATTTTGAACATAATAATAATTTTTTTCCCAATTTCCTGACTGGGGCACTAAGGTTAGAATCATAGATCAATACCTGCATACTGATTGTTTCTGTGTATATGTAATCTTACTACATCTTCCCGAGCCAAGGGCGTGACTGACTATAAAAGTCCAGTTTCCACCCTTGCCGAACTAGGCTGGAATTATGGAGTTATATTATGGCTGGACTATCGAGTCTATGCATAGTCTAATCAAAATCGCGTATCGAACTAGACATCCCATTCGTAAGCAACATGGATTTCAACTTGCAGATTTCAATTGACTGCAGGTTTTGCAAAACGTGTATTGTCAACTGGGTATCGTCATATAATTTAAAAATGTTTTCATGTTTTTATTCAAGGTGATCAAGGGATGTGATGCACTTAGTGGGGTAAGACCCACTTTATTACATATAGATCTTGATTAACGATCAAGTGATATGAGAATCTGATTGGTCAATAGAAGGGACATGGAAGGGACATAACTCGAACAGCCACTGGAGGCATTACGATCGAGCCCCGAAATTCCAGCCTAGTGTGGCAAGGGTGGAAACTGGACTTTTATAGTCAGTTAACTCTCTTGCCACGGGAAGATGATCTTACTGAAGCATCTGTATGCTGAATGTTCCTGTGTATGCTAAATCTTACCGATGGATCTATCTTGTCATTGGTGACACCGCGGAGGATGGCTTTGATTGGTCGTTTTGTGAAGGGAGCTAGCAGGAGCAGCCCCTCGATGTAGTATCCCAGGGATCTCTGTGTGCTGCAGTCATGCTCGATACTCCCCCCTGTCAGCAACCCAGGCTGATACAACACACTGGTTCCTGAATAAACCCACAGGTTTCCATCTGGTTAATATACATCCTAGTGCTAGTTCAGTCCCATGAGATTGAGAGAGGGTGTTGGGACTAATGCCACTTATACAGTATTCCAGTTATACTACGGCGTGTCAGCTTGATGGAGTAGGAAAATCCGAAGTGATGCAGGTCTCAGACGTTTACCACTGTGGTGAAACCCACGATTATGGGTACGGTACTGATATCTTAAGTGGTTTGTTCAGATGATTAATTCAAGTATGTACTAATTGTTTATAAGTTAATAATCATTTGAACGTTAATAATATGGTAGGCTATATAGTGTACGTAATAACAAACAGACGTTTTGACTTTTTGGTTATATATTCTTTTGTCCTTTGTTTACTTGCATTTCAACGACCATTTTCACATGTGGCTATTTTTTCTTGCTCCTTCAACAAAAAGCTTTCATAATCTCATGTGAGGGTCAGAAACTAGCAATTCAACTAATTTTCAGTTATTATATCAACCTATCAATACAATATATAGCTATATGATAAAGTCCAAGTGTAAGACAAAATGACGTACCTGTTTCACTCACAATAATCTTCGATCCGTTGGTAAGTTTATCAAGAAGCCTGATGAAACTGGCTTCAAAATCTGTAGGAAAAAAAAAGAGGAAAAATAATGGAATTCATAATATCAGTATGTCAGTTTCATTATGAAAAGCTATCCCCAGAGTCAGAGGATACAGGCACAAGATGACCTGACATACTTGGCCTATATGTCTCAGTACGATCATTGGCACCCTAATCTGATGTGGATTATAAAACCTAATATGTGTGTCTATGACTAAAACAGGATTGATTTCATGACAGCATAATCATGTCCACATCTTTTCCATATTCGATCACCATCAAATACCTCTAAGACCAGGGTTGTCATCTGTAGATCTTATTTTTCTTATTTTAACAGTCTTTCCACTCAATGTTGACAAAACAAGCCGTTGGCGAAAGAAATTACACCCTTCGAATGTAAGTGTGTTTGTTGACATGATTCTCGATGGTCTCGATCCTCGTGGCCAGCACTGTGTTCCGTCTAATGGGAACAGATAGCGCAGAGTTCCAAATTGACAATACTGGTTTAAAGTGAATTGCCTTAGCCGGATAAAGCCAGCGCATGGTATTATTGTGATGATTTAGATTTTGACATTTATACACCTTAATTTAATTTATATAAAATAATAAACAATGCAACAATATATATTACACATACTCTTATATTTTATTGTAATTTAAATTAAACATATACGATTTGGTAAGATGGTCGTTTTGTTTACATCTTCCGGATTATATCATTTCGTGAGCTCCTTGCACGCACTAAAGTGCTAGTAAATCACTTGAAAGGGTCTGTACTCGTGCTGTTGCGAGCTTCAAAACAAAGAGTAACCTCCCTTCAATATTGAAATTTACAATGCATATTGCAATGTTTGCAACTTCGTGATGATGTTATGAACCTCAATGACAGTCCGACGTTTCCTGTTTGTATTTTAATACTGGATTAAAATGCTGAGACTTTTTACGGACAGAGAATACGGCATTGATAGCCCGATGATATTGTCCAGAGCGGAGACAACCAGGAGAATATTTAGTTTAGAACTTAGTAAACACAGAGATGTTGACCGAGTCCATGATGGTGGCATCAATAGCTTGGACATAGATCTGATAGAATCGAGATAGTATGCATTATTTTTACAAAAGTTAATGATTTTATGTTTCATGTCACAGAAAGCTGACTTTAGATCATGAATAGGTTATTATCATACATGTTCTAGTTTCAGAGAAATTTTTTAACACCCTGTGTTTATAGGGCCTATTGCTATTGCCTGGATCAGATTCTATTATCTACAGGCTGCCATAGATATCTGGATCTTGACACTGTGGCGTTGAACTACATTAACTTACTCATTCATCTCATCCTTCACTTTCCATCGCCAACATTTGCATGGTCAAATGATTGAAATCTTTCTGAACGATTTCATCTGAAATATTTCCGAAACGTCAGAGAAATTGAGGATTTATATCCATAAGAGTCTTTTGCTTCTTTTTCTGTTTTGTGTTATCTTGTATCGATGCATACGATTGTAATTATTACTCTTGACGTGACGTGTTACATTTGTTTTCAGTTTGTTATCGGGAGGGTCGACTGGAGGAATATCTATTCATGATCTGGAGAATTTCAGTGGGAATGTGAAGCACTCCTATAAGCATGTCTGTGGAGTGGACCGATCCAACAGATACATGCACAAACACAGCATCCAGACTGTTCAGTGGTACCCGTTAGACACGGGCATATTCACCTCCAGTGGAACTGATAAACTATTGAAAGTGTGGGACACCAACAGGCTTGTGGTGAGCAGTTTCATTGTGGAGTGGTGATTACTATGACATGCATCTGGAATACTCAAATCATTTGTCATGTTTGTTGAATGCATTTTGTCTGATACTACAATCTACCCGATAAGATGAGATGGCAATGTGGTTGTTAACCTTCTAGAACCTAGCAGGCAGTTTGGGTTGTATACTCCCCAGGGAGTTGAGAATGATTCTTGACTGCACATTGATCCAGTGACTGGGGTAATAATAGCGCTTTGAGTGGTTTGAAAATATGCACGATATGAATAGCCTATTGTTATTAATATTATTATGATCTTGCTGAATTTATTTCAAATCGACCGCCTCCATGGTCTAGTGGTAGAGCGTCTGCCTGGAGAGCGGAAGGTCCGGGGTTCAATTGTTGTTATCCTGTCTGGCGCTCGGCATTGAGGGGCTAAAACAAGAACTGGTCGGCTCGGAGTCAGTATACTGTGTCTGAGTGGGGTATTCATGTTAAACTGCGGCATGGTATCTCAGTGAGCTAGCACTATAAATCGGCATCAGTCCGGACTAGTACAAGCAGCCACACAAACACACACACCTACATGCACGTCGCTATATAAGTGCAATAATCTTGGATGCGACGTTAAACCCCATTTCACCTCACCTCACCTCATTTCAAATCAAATTTTTTTTAAATATCATACATGCCATAACAATGTTTCAACATGTTTGATGGATCATGATGATGATGATGCATAGAATGTAGACTACAAAGAAGGTAAGAAAAGGTAATACTAACACATCACAAAAAACACAACAGTACTGAGTATGTCACCTGATAAGATCAGTCAAAACAAATAATACTGGTAGTACTAGCTTTGGTTATATTTACGTAACTAAAATATTGAAACATATTCTCTGAATTACATCCCTTTCTAAGATCTGTTGTCATGTTTCCTGTATGTATCATGTGTATTGACACACATCACAGAAAAACCCTCCTTGTAAAAATGGATCTTGATACAATTTTAAATGGCAACACTCATCACAAATTGATAACAATTTTCGTTATTAGAATACTATGATTTCGCAGAATGATTCCTGGAAGTTCCGAATCTGCATTCCAAAGTTGTTATGTCAAATGACCATTGCATCTAATGAAAAAGGGGGCACGGGTGGCCCAGTCGTCTAGGGCGCTGCGATTCACTGTGCAGAGTTGCGTCCCTTGGGCACGCCAGGAACCTATGATTGTGGGTTCGAATCCCGGTTCGCCCCGATTATGTTTCTAGGTTCGTCAGCACCATACCCGTGCTCGTGGGTTTCACCGAAGTGGTAAACATCTGAGACCTGCATCACTCAGGGCTTTCCTCCCACATTAAGCTGACACGCCGCGATATAACTGGCATACTGTTAAAAGTGGCGTTAAACCCAACTCACTCACTCACTCTAATGAAAAAAGAAAACACCACACAATAAAAAAAAAATGGCTGACAACCCAGAACAGAAAATGTGTCAAAATGATGGTATTCATGTTTTTGTTTTCTATCCGCAGCCTGCAGATACCTTCGAGTTCAGCACCATTGTATACAGTCATCACATGTCTCCCATCGCCACCAAACACAACCTGCTTGCTGTCGGATGTCAAGGATCAACTGTGAAGCTGGTAGATCTGAAAGCTGGGTCAGCGACCCACATGCTGAAGGGACACAAGTCTTGTGTCATGTCAGTCAAGTGGTCTACAAGGGATGAGTTTATTTTGGCAACTGGCAGGTTAGTATTTGAAATAAATTTTGAAAGTAAAAAGTCATTGTCATGCTTGATTATCCTTTGCATTAAAGCAGATGGGTCTATGATAACACCAGAGGACCCAGTGAAGATTCGGGGTAGAACAGGTCTCCAGCAACCCATGTTTGCCATCAAAGGCGACTGTGCTTGGTGTAAGAGGCAACTAATGGGATCGTATGGTCAGGCTCACTGACTTGAATGATACTTGTCATTGTATCTCAGTTGTATGGATCAATGTTCATGTCACTCACAGGATTGTCTGGTCCAGACTTGATTATTTACAGACTGTCGTCATATAGCTGAAATGTTGCTGAGTGCATTAAACAACAAACAAACAAATCTTGCCAGAGGTGCATCGGGATTGTGAAAAAGTGGGAATGCGAACGATATCCAAGTCACAAAGTGTTCCTAAAGAAAATATTGGATGATGTGTTCAGCGTCTTGAAAAGAGGGTGTGTGTGCACCCCGTTCACTCCCCACCGGATCTGCCAGTGATAGCTTTATGATGTTGGAGATTTCAGTTGAACAGATCTCCATGGGGATTCCCATCTTCCCGAGGCAAGGGAGTTAACTGACTATAAAAGTCCAGTTTCCACCCTTGCCGAACTAGGCTGGTATTATGGAGTTACATTTTGGCTGTTACAAAATCGCGCTACGAAATCGAAATCCGGTTTGTAAACTGTCGTGCTGATTTCGGTCGATTGGAGGATTTGCAAAGCATGTGCACTGCCAACTACTTGTCAACAGATATTTTCCAAATCTTTTCATGATTTTAATCAAGGTGCTCACGTGATTTGATGCACTTTGCGATGTAGGACCCGTTATAACACAATATAGATCTTGATTATCGTCTCGACTGGGCGCCGCAAATTTGTTTCAAGCAAATGCCAGTGATACGAGAGTAGGAATCTGATTGGTCCATAGGAGAGGTTTAAAAGGGACATAACTCGTAGTAACCACTGGTGGCGCTACGATCGAGCCCAGGAATTCCAGCCTAGTTTGGCAAGGGTGGAAACTGGACTTTTAAAGTCATTTAACTCCCTTGCCTCGAGAAGATGGGGGATTCCAGGTTAGAATACGTCCCCAGCTAACTATGCTGGTCGTAAGAAGCAACCAAGTAGATCGGATGGTCAGGCTCGGTGACTTGTTTGATAGCATGTCCTCGTACCCTGATGGGGTGGAATGCTGCGGACAAAATCGATCACTGAATTGTCTGGCCCAGTCACAATTATCTGCACGCCACCGTCATGTAGCTGAAATACAGCTGAGTGCAATGTTAACCACCTAGCAATCATAGCAATACACACCACTGTTTTTAGCACTGACAATCGGGTCCTGCTGTGGGATGTTCGTGCTGCCAAGGGGCATCTGATGTCGCTAGATCAACATAATGGAGAAGCAGCATCCTCGGTCGCCAATTGTAAGTCTTGAGCCAATTCTTGAAATATCACTGAGTGAGTTGGGTTTAACACCGCTTTTAACAGTATTCCAGTTACATCACGGCGTGTCAGCTTAATGTGGGAGGAAAGCCCGAAGTGATGCAGGTCTCAGACGTTTACCACTTTGGTGAAACCCACGAGCACGGGTATGGTGCTGACAAACCTAGAAACATAATCGGGGCAAACCTGGATTCGAACCCACAATCATAGGTTTCTGGCGTGCCCAGAGGATGCAACTCTGCACAGCGAATCACGGCGCCTGAGGCGACTTGGCCACCCGTGCCCCCGCAAAATATCACCGAAGAAAACATTGTCATGAAATTGTTAAATAACTAGCAAGGTTTTAAAATTCGCCATAACCTGCAAGTTTTTGTTATATCCTATTGTAATGTCAATCATTTTGGGTTTTAAAACTATTCAGGTAGTAAACTAGTTCATTAGTAAACTAGTTCATTAGTAAACTAACTCTTCTTTTGTATAAAGGATCTTTTGGGCAAAATACTTCTGAAAATCTTTAAGAATATCAGTGAATAAAATGCTGTATATATGTAATTATCCTTATAATGTTACTGGTGTATGTAGGATTGAATTATGCAACTGAATTTAATAGAAGAAATTAGAAATTTCATTGTTTCCACACATGTTTCCATGTGAGGTGTGATCTCCGTGAAGCCATTAGAGATTAAATGATGGACAAATACCATAATTTCAGGCTAAGTTCATTTGTTTATGAGTCTACTAGAATCTGGAATTGCCTCTGGAATGGCTTTTGAAAGGCTAAATCACATTGAGATTGATGCATTCTTCTTTAAAACTGATAAGGCCCCATATGAAAGTGCTCAATGTAAATATGATACATGATTCTTGCCCATGATCATTGTAAATATGTTTTAGCTTTCCATGTACATTTTATAACCTGATTTGAATATATTTTTATCTAACCTGTTCGCGTCCAAGATTATTGCACTTATATAGCGACGTGCATGCACGTGTATGTGTGTGGCTGCTTGTACTAGTCAAGACTGATGCCAATTTATAGTGCTAGCACACTGAGATACCATGCCGCAGTTTAACATGAATACCCCACTCAGACACAGTATACTTATTCCGAGCCGACCAGTCCTTGTTTAAGCCCCTTAATGCCGAGCGCCAGACAGGGTAACAACAAGTACTATCTTTTAAGGTCTTTTGGAATGATGTAGCTGGGGATCGAACCCCGGGCCTTCCGCTCTCCGGGCGGACGCTCTACCATTAGACCACAGAGGCGGTCACAATGTTAGGTGTAAAGATCTAATATTATAATTGTTACGTGTCATAACCAGCATAAATAATGAAATAATTTTAAAAATTGTATCTTGTACACCTTTTCTTCAGCCACAACTGCCCATGGTGGACGAGTGAATGGTTTGAGTTTTACCCACGATGGCTTGTTCCTGGTGACATTTGGAACAGACAACAGGCTACGTTTGTGGAACACGTATACTGGAAAAAACTGTATGGTGAATTACGGCTCTATAGAAAATGACAGTAAGAAAAACATCCAGATTGGTCTCTCCCAAGGTGGCTGCCCGGATGTGATCTTTGTGCCAAATGATGGTAACATTGACATTTTAGATCTCCATAAAGGCGGCTACATCAACACATTACGAGGGCATTATAACGTTGTCAACTGCTGTCTGTTTAACACAAACAGTCATGAACTGTTCAGCGGAGGAAGTGATCGCAACATTCTGGTCTGGGTTCCCCACACAGACAGTGCTTATGATGAGCATCTCAAGGATGACTCTAAGAGCATACAAAATCCGAGTTTTGTGAAGAGAATAGCCGCGACGGCTGACACCTGGAGCAGTGATGAAGATGAATGATGAACGTGCGTACACAGCTTGTCTTGTTATATATTGTGAAGATATTTGGACTTCTTCCATGTCAATGCTTACGCCCCATTTCTCGTGTCCGCCGCCGTGATATTGCTGGAATATTGCTAATAGTGGCATAAAACAACACTCACTCATGAGTGCTAACATACAAAGTCGGTTGGTTGGTTGGTTTGTTATTTAACGTTGCACTCAGCAATATTCCAGTTATACAGTCGGTCTGTAAAATAATCGAGTCTGGACCAGACAGTCCAGTGATTGATATCATGAGCATCGATCCACGCAATTGGGATTGATGATATGCACCAACCAAGTCAGCGAGCCTGACCACCCGATCCCGTTAGTTGCCTCTTACGACAAGCACAGTAGCCTTTTGCGGCAAGCATGGGTTGGTGAAGACCTACTCTACCCCGGATCTTCACAGGTCCTTACACACAAAGATCCCAAGGTCAGCAATATGATCAAATACAGTGACAGAGTCATTTTGTTATATACATCTAAAAAACACTTACAGATACTTTACCTTTTGACATTTTATGGTCATATCCTGTATTATTTTCTGACGAAGCACTTGTGTTTTTGTTTTGTTTACAAAGTGGCACACTTATCAAAAATAAAGAAACCAAAATTGATTACCTAAGGATTGACATGATTTGTAGCTGTTCCATGACAGTTATATTTGACTGCAGCCGTCTCATGTACACTTTAAGTCTGTGACTGTTTGACTATTCTTTCAGTTGCATCCGTTTCTTTGTGTTATATGACCATGATGACTCGGTTCTTGCGACCATCTGCGGAAACATAGTGTTCTTGAACAAACCTTTCAGCAGATACTGGTCATTTCAAAGACAATGTATCAAATGAGATCAATATCATTTGTAGATATTTCTGAAAGATACATGAACTATATATACTACTCCACTTTTGATAAGGATGTTTTTTATATCTTTCCATGGTACACAAAAATGATATGTCAAATGTATATTTAAATAGAAAGACATGTCTGATTATTCCTATCAAAAGTTGAGTAGCATATGGGGCTTATCCTTTTCCCAGGTGCTCATGCTATCGAAGGTCTACTGATGGATACAGGACATTGGATCAAAGTGGCAAAATCAGATTCCATTTTAAATTTTATTTGTTTATTTTTTAAGGAAGAGAATATATGGATGTCAACTTCTTTATAATAAAGAAGTTGACATCCATTTTTTCTCTTCTTTATGTGAATCACTTCTAAATGCCTTTCAAAGACCTGATATTTATTTTTTATTATATTTATTCTAAATATATTTATTTTACTGCCCTTTTCAAAGGACAAAAGGGAAATCTCAATGAGTCAAGTTTGCGATTGAGAGTAGATTGCAACAATTGTGTCTTTGTACGAGATGCTCAGCAAGTACAGCCTGTAACCAGTATTCTGGTAAAAATCTTTATTGCAGTATGGCACATTCATTACCTGGTGTACACCTCTGAAGTTGTTCAGTGATCTTTTGTACACACATATTGATGATGTCATGATTGATCGAGCACATCAGTGAGCTAATGGTGAATGAGGCTGGATATTATAAGTGTTAAGAAAGTTCATAAAAAAGCTTTAGTGTGTAGAATGAAACACATGTATTTCACCTTCGGAGTACCTGTAATTAAAAGATGAAGGTCAAAGACACACAATGCAAAATCTGATTATCTTTCCTTTTACCATTTTCATCATTTTTAGTGGATCTGGTTCTTGATAATTCTGAATATATTCATACATGTGAACATTTACCCGGTATATCACTTTGCCATGGCAATCGTAACTTAAAAAACAAAAGGAAGATAGGGTTACCATGGCAACTGCTACTTAATAGGTAATCTTCAGTTATGGTTATTGAAGGTATGAAAATTATTAAGTAACCATGGAAACTGTTTGATGCAAAGTGTATAAGAAAACTGACAATACCGAAAACTGTTGCGAAGAATGGCAAATATCATGATTATTGTGAGAAAGGTAATCAGATCCGTGAATGATTGGTAAGTACCGGGGGGCACGGGTGTCCCAGTCGTCTAAGGCGCCGCGATTCGCTACGCAGAGTTGCGTCCCTAGGGCATGCCAGAAATCTATGATTGTGGGTTTCTAGGTTTGTCAGCACCATACCCGTGCTCTAGGGTTTCACCGAAGTGGTAAACGTCTGAGGCCTGCATCACTTCAGGCTTTCCTCCCACATTAAGCTGACACGCCGAATATAACTGGAATACTGTTAAAAGCGGCGTTAAACCCAACTCACTCACTCACTCACTGGTAAGTACCGAACATTTTCTATGAAACTGGCATTTGATACATCTCAGGATATTTTTCTATGTTAAAGGTATGAGTGTTTCTCTGGGTGCCCATGTTGGGGGTTGTTGTATAGTATGTATGTTCACGTGTATGTACAGGCATTCCAGTCCGCTGTATTTATTTGTACTCTGGATTAAGAAACAGTATTGTGAATAAATATGATTTTGAAGAAGATATTTTGAATTTTGTCGTTTGTGTAAGCATTTTACGTTAATACCTGTCTCGAATGAAGATGGTCCTTTCTTTATTGTTAAAATCATCAAAGAACCCCATCTATTCACTCACTCGCTCTTTTACACACTCCAAACTCCCGAACTTAATTATATCTGCATGTCTTCTACTTAGGGAAAAAACCTAAAACCCAACGTGTGTAAACCTCAAGGTACTTGCAGACTGTTGTATAATGTGTATTTGTAGAAGTACGTTATTGGGGGATGCTATTGTACTCCATATGATCAAAGCCGCCAATAATGCTCCAAGTATTACCATTTGTGTTGCCATGGATACGTGACTCTGTAGTGATTCCAGGGTAGAACTGACTCCTTGCATGTGATGTTTTTGGTTTGTTTTACCATGTGGAAAATATCCAGTACACCTGCGTGAAAGTGTGCTTTGCCTTTACATAATGCTGTCATGCAGTAATATACATAAAAACTGAAATACTGCTTCAATCCAACTCTTAGATCCGGGTGGTCCCAACCTCGCTTGCAGGTTGTCACTGCTCCATCAAACTATCAACTGCTAACCCCATGTCGATTCTGGGTTAGAGAAGGTCCACAGCAACCTATGCTGGTCATAAAAGGCAGCCAAAAATCATGAGGTGGTCCGTTTTTTGTTTGTTGTTTAACGCCACACACAGCAATATTCCAGTCATATGATGGCAGTCTGTATTCGAGCCTGAGCCAAACAATCCAGTGATTGATATCATGAGCATCGACCCACCAAATTGGGATACAATGACATGCATGAACCAAGTCAGCGAGCCTGACGACCCAACCCCATTAATCGCCTCTTATGACAAATGTGGGTTGCTGTGGACCTGTTCTAACCAAGGTCAGGCTCGGTGACTTGGTTGAGAGCGTGTCATCGTACTCTGATGATGTGGATTGCTTTTCACAATGTTGATCACTGGATTGTCTAGTCCAGACGATTACAGGCTGCTATCATATAGCTAGAATGTTGCTGAGTATCTCAGTAAACAACAAACAAACATCCACTGCTAAACCTGCATGGATTCCAAGCTAGAGCATGTATGCATGTCACTGTATGTTCCTGATCAAGCTAACTTGTCCCCTGTAGCATTATGTAAAAGGCGACTATACTTCTTGTGAGAGGCAACTAACGGGATCGGGTGGTCAGGCTCACTGACTTTGTTGATGCATGTCATCGATCCCAATTGCATTGATCGATGCTCATGATATCAATCCCTGGATTGTCCCGTCATGACTTGATAATTTACAGACCGCCGTCATATACCTGGAATATTGCTGAGTGCGGCGTTAAACAACAAACCAACCAACCAACCAATCACGTACAAAGTTCAAGAGAAAAACAACTGAAATATATTACAACATTTTATTGAAAACAACATGATTAACATTAATGTTATGAATGAGTGCTGTAAACCATGACATTTCCATTTCAAAAACCTATCCCCCAAAAGCTCTCATAAGTATTACATACACTGCTGAATCTCTGTCATCAACAAGCAGATACGACCATGGTGACTATGGCAACAAATTTAATTTTTTAAATGCAATATTTTTCTAATAGTTGGTTAATTAAGAATAACATACAGTGGTATAGAAGGCAGAAATAATTCTATTGATGAATCAGAATAATTAATAAAAGCTAAAAGAAACATGGTAAAAGAGCATGGTTTACAGTTGTGAAGTGAGGTGTCATGAGTATGATGATGATGATGATGATGATGATGATTTGTGAATCATGTGGTAACTAAACAATGGGAACAAATGCGATATACACATGAACATAAATATGATTTGTGGGAATATGTCCAAACAACAATACAAGAGTCATAAAAAAGATACACAACTTGGATTTTGTAAAAACAAGTAACTTAAGAGTAATTCCAATACGAATTGTCCTGATGTACACAAATTGTAATCCAGGTATAACTTCATAATCAAGGCATGACAAGACCCAAGAGTAGAGAAGTGGCTTCCTTTCAAACATGTACTTTATAATACATAGAAGGAAATGTTCATAAACTCATGACATACAGGAATTAGTAATTCTTGTTAAAGTCTGATCTAGTTAAAGGTTAGCAGTAATGTAACAGGTAAATTATATGATCATAATCCTTTTTTCCCCCAACTGAAATTCCAGGATGACCGACAGAATATTATTAATCAGCCTTTTCAAAGCCGGCTGTTTTACAAATTCCCGAATTTGCCCTCCGCCGCCATGTGCTCCTGTTCGGTTTCTAGCATGTGATAAACTGACACTGAACGTCAAAATCAGTGAATACCTAATACAACATGTAATAGACAGGAAAAGTTTGTGACCACAGCGACTCAAGTCTTGACAGGATTCTGACCAAACTTTACTCCCTTCATCTCTAAGTTTGGCTTTCAAATTGAGAGATATCAGTTTACAGCAGTCGAAGGTCAAGTTCAGGAAAGGCACAGCAATCTGTGCGAAAGCGTTTTGAGATTACTAGCCGAGCATGGATCTTAGCATCACGTTAAGTACATTTTAATGTTATCACATGGACTATTATTAGCTGACCTTAAACCGAATTTTATTGGACTTTGGACAAGTGGCGTAAGTCACAGACTGGCAAACACCACACAAACCTTAGTGTATCCAAAAAACATTGTTTGTTATCAGATAGAAAGAATCCCTGATGTCTTTGTCTAAACCATGTCAAGGTCACGGTCAAGGTCATTCACTCAATGATTCCAAATGTATTTTCAGGTAAGAGATTTAATATCTGATACAAATGTTGATATGTTATTCAAATTTGTGCAACATCATTGGTTTACCTGAAGGTCAAGGTCACTCAACATGAACAAAGCTAGAAGAATGCCTGGCATGGCTTCACAAAATAAAACAAGGAGTAGCATAGTAATTTTGATTTATCTGATTATGAGGTAATTTCTGATTTTTTATCTTAATATATCAATGTTCTGTTTGCATAGGTATTGGAAATATATTGAAACTAATGAGGTCAGGTGTCGTCTGAATGCCTGAAAAGCTGTAGTTCATGAAACTTATATACATGCTGGCAGGGAGTGATTGAGGAGGTGATTACTTCATCAAAAACAGTTTTATTCAGGTTTGGGGGCAGTCAGGTGAAGGTGCTGACAGGACGCCTTTCGTTTACACATGTGAGAATGGTTTTATGCCGCTTTTAGCAATATTTCAGCAATATCACGTCAACACCAGAAATGGGCTTCACAGATTGTTACCATGTGGGGACCGAACTCAGGCCTTTGGCTTGATGAGCAAATGCTTTAACCACTAGGCTACCCCACTGCCCATTTTTACATGTCATGTGAACACCTTTTACAATGTAATAAGATACAAGATGATAAATGGTCGTCACAATGGTCTGCAAAGCATTGTGATTCAATTTCATTGCAGCGATATCTACAGTGTAGATATCGCTTGATCTCACCCAAGTGATATCTCCTGTGGGAGCCAGTTTTGGATGATAAAAGTGTGGTTTATTGCCACTTTGAACATTACTCAGTCACATCATGGCATGTCAGCTTGACATGGGAGGAATAGTTGATGCAGGTCTAGACATGTACCACTTGAAACGTGAAACCCATGTGCTCGAGTATGCTGCTGACAAACCGAGTGAGTGAGTATTGTTTTACGCCGCTTTAGGCAATATTCAAGCAATATCCCAGTGGGAGACACCAGAAATGGGCTTCACACATTGTACCAATGTCGGGAATCGAACCCAGGGCCTTCGGCGTGACGAACGCTTTAATCACGAGGCTACCCCGCCTGACAAATCAAGATACATTATCAGGGTGAACATGGGATTCAACCAGCGATCACAGGTTTCTGTCATGCCTAAGGTGGTCTAAGGCCTCCATGGTCTAGTGGTAGAGTGTCCGCCTGGAGAGCGGAAGGTCCGGGGTTCAATCCCCAGCCACATCATACCAAAAGACGTTAAAAGATGGTACTTGTTGTTACCCTGTGTGGCGCTCGGCATTAAGGGGCTAAAACAAGGACTGGTCGGCTCGGAGTCAGTATACTGTGTCTGAGTGGGGTATTCATGTTAAACTGCGGCATGGTATCTCAGTGAGCTAGCACTATAAATCGGCATCAGTCCGGACTAGTACAAGCAGCCACACAAACACACACACGTACATGCACGTCGCGATATAAGTGCAACAATCTTGGATGCGATGTTAAACCCCATTTCACCTCACCTTAGGCGACTCGGCCACCCATACCACCACATTGTATAAATAAGGGAGGTGGTGTATTTCCAGTGTTCATCAACATATCAGTGGAGACATGTACCTTGTTGTCATTTCAATTCATTTACAGATGTGGTTGAAAGAAAAATGAAGACATTCGTAAATTCTTAATTTGAAAAATTTGGGTCCCTTCATCCTAAATTAAGTTAAACGCATGGATATTAAATGACAAACATATATCTCTGCCAAGGCTCAAAGAATCCACTGATTTAAGAATTTCGGGGGCACAGTGCCACTACCTTCTAGACCTGGACCAGGCACAGTGCCACTACCTTCTAGACCTGGACCAGGCACAGTGCCACTACCTTCTAGACCTGGACCAGGCACAGTGCCACTACCTTCTAGACCTGGACCAGGCACAGTGCCACTACCTTCTAGACCTGGACCAGGCACAGTGCCACTACCTTCTAGACCTGGACCAGGCACAGTGCCACTACCTTCTAGACCTGGACCAGGCACAGTGCCACTACCTTCTAGACCTGGACCAGGCACAGTGCCACTACCTTCTAGACCTGGACCAGGCACAGTGCCACTACCTTCTAGACCTGGACCAGGCACAGTGCCACTACCTTCTAGACCTGGACCAGGCACTGCCCACATGGGAGCATCTTCAGGGCCTGGACCTGGTCCAGGAAGGGCGTGTTGACCTGCCCCCATTCCCTAAGCTACTTCAGTGCATTTAGACAGAGAATTGCAATGTACATTCCACTTATTATTCGTGTCTATATCCTGAGATGGAAAATCGATGTCGACTCTTGTTTGGGTAAGATGAATAAAGGTGATAATCACTACTTGGGTTACTATGCAAGCCTTGTTAGCCAATCAGACTGTGGTGTACCATATATTGAATACCTGTTATTCTCTCTAACAAAAAACACATTTACCCACAAGAAAACGACTCTACTGTGAGATTAAAACAGTGAAAATTATAAGTTCTTGCTGACAGATGCAATACACCGTTGAAAAAGAAGCATCCAATTGATTTAATGACATAATTGGTAGTGGTGGGACGATACACTGATGCATTGGTGGATCGTGATATTTTACTTCCCGATACAAGTATCGATCACAGCTGCACACTAAATATAGAATACTAAACGAGCTTCCGTGTAATACCAATTTTATGAAACGAGTGAATAGTTGTGGTATCTGACGAGCGAAAGCGAGTCAGATACCACAACTATTCACGAGTTTCATAAAATTGGTTTTACACAGGAGCGAGTTTAGTATTTTATTTATTACTTGCCATTTATAACGTTTTTAGAATTATCCTCTCGAGTGTGAATAAGCTGACACCTACACAATCCACGGCATAATCCAATTGAGTTGGATTGAGTTGAGTAGTACTTCAGACACGTCAAAAGTTGAAACGTATGAATTTAATACCACACAACGGTCCACCTTTAGAATTCAGGCGTCCGTTCCACGGAATTATCGTTGCGTTAAGGTTATCGCAACTCACATACTTTAACTTAGACCAACGACTGTCGTTGCGCTACAGTACGACTGCCTTGTGGAACGGGGCCTTGCACCTCAAAGTTTACAATCACGTCACAATACCCGATGACGTAATTTGTGGAATTTTGTTGCAAGATCCTTCGGCGAAACAATGCCATGTGACGTCAGCCTAGCAACAAGGTTGCTGGGGTCATCGAGTGTGCATAAGCTCCTCTCAGAGATCTATTATCTCCACACATAATGTTGAATAAGCCAAGGGATGTTGAGAGCTTTTAATATTTGTTCGTGAAACGTGTTCCGAGAGTACATAAGCACGTGTTTTGGTATTACACAATGTATAATACAGCTGTATGTTTATTAAACGGCAGATCTCTTCACAGTCAAGTAATAAATAAAAAAATATCTATTCATGCCTTAAATGTTTACTTTAATGGCTGTGACACCAAACACTAATTAGTAGTGAAAAAGTAAATATTTTCATCCATTGCGCCATACTTGTCACTGCCAACTGTAAATCATCAGTGTGACAGGTATCTGACTATCCTGTCTATGAACAATATGGGTTATGTTCCACAGCTAAGAGCACATACAAGTATCGTGATACGTATTGGATCGTGAGCAAGGTATCGTGATACGTATCGGATCGCACAATTGGTGTATCGTCCCAGCCCTAACAATTGGTGGGACTTATAGCACCTTTGAATTAACTTCATAATCAGGTGTGAAGGAATCGTCTCCCTCTCACAATATTTACACATTCTATCATGACTATATGAACGTTGAACAAGCCTGTCTGATGTTGATGATGACCTGTTTCAACTAATGACTGTTAAGCTGCCAATGTTATTCCTCAGATTGAAAAAGTCTTAAAATATGAACACAGAATGTTGCAGAGGATGGTGAGGGAGATCTGTCACAGTGGGAGGGACCGCTCTTCAAACTCATATTCAGTCATGATGATGTTAATTATTAAATGTTATTTAATAAATCTTTGATGTTTCTTCCATGTTGAGCTTAAAATATAACTAACCAGTGACAATATGAATATTCCTTTCAATATCTTGTAAGTGTTACCATGAACAGTTCATAGACAATAACCGCCAGAGATGAGTTTGTACCTGCAATATTAAAAGTATACACACATGGTATAGCACGATCTAGTATAACAAATATCCACTGGAATAATCCAGTTTCCTATATTCCTTTCTCCGACAAACATTTGTCAGATCAAGTTTTTTTCTCTTAATTTGGGTGACTTTAACAGAATTCTTTTAGTTTTATCATTACTTATTGACAAACATAGCTAGAAATATTTAACTGATTTTCAGTAGTCAAACATAACTTTTTTTGGTCTTATAGCATCATTGATACAAACATAAGACCTCCATGGGATTATTTGAAGGTCGTGGACCTTGTTTAGGGCGGGGAGGTCCAGAGCCCCCTAAAGATGGCATACATGGGAGATTCTGACTGGAAGTACTGGTTATCAAACAGCATGAACACCATCACATGCCTTCATAAAATGAAAGAATGGTAATTCACATAATTTGGTGTTTACAAATTTTGGCTCATGTGATCTGGCCTTTCTAAGTTTAATCATAAGCCTCCTTAGCCCTTAGCGTGTCGTGTTATATACTGACATTATTTACCTGAAATTATAGGACAACATCTATACAACTCTGCATACAACATACAATTGGGTCAGAATTTACAGGTACCGACAAACACTTGCTTAAAAAACATGATACATGTTCAATAATTGCTCAAAGTGGGACTACACTCAACAGTCCAGTGCCCTCTACTGGTCTTAGTCTAGACACTGTAATTTTTTGTTGTAATTATCTGCATGTGAACATGGTGATTGGGGTAATCAGTTTGTTTGTTTGTTGTTAAAGCAGCACTCGGCAATACTCCAGCTTTATATCAGTAACTGCAAGATTGATAAAATTTGAATTTAGTAAAAGGTGTCTTTCAACAACTTCAATCCAACTTGCTGGGCCTGGCCATTAGCTTGAGTCTAGTCCCCTTTTGAGTAAACAGGTTCTTGCCTTGCCATTTTATAATAAGATGAAGATGAAGTTAGGGAGAAATGGTTCTCACCATCGTTGTGTGTGATTGCCCTCTGTGTTACAAGAATGACGCCAAAACAATGACGTGGCCACGAATTTACCAAGCTGCCATGTTCTGGCAGTGATGTTTTAAATGGCAGCCTGTTTTATGAGAAATTCTCCCTTCATTTGGTATGCCGTCACTATGAAATGAGAGTGATCTCCCTTAGATGAACATGAATGGATGGGACGGTAGCCTGCTACTGTCTGCTGGCAATGTCATTGGTGCCACAAGTGCCTGGGTCACACATCCAGGAAGCCGTCGTTCTCTTTGTCATTGTCTTTGTCACCATCATAGAACTCATTGGCTGGCTCAACCCTGGAGGAGAGAAACACATTCCTGTTTGATTGTGTGGATTAAACATATTCAGGAAGACATGTGAAAAAATGAAACACATGAACAGGTTTACAGCAGTAACACCAGGAAGCAGAATGTGAGATTTAACAGAGCATCCTACAGGGACCTCACAGCAACAAGCAAGGGGTAGTCTCAGTATATTATATCACCTCCAGATGTCGGGGTCATCCCCCTTGTCAACACTACAAGTATCACAGGTAACACTGCCTCACCTCTTGTCTACATTGTCCTGGTGGTTCCTGATGTCGGGGTCATCCCCCTTCCTACCCCCACTACAAGTATCACAGGTAACACTGCCTCACCTCTTGTCGACGTCATCCTGGTGGTTCCTGATGTCGGGGTCATCCCCCATCCTACCCCCACTACAAGTATCACAGGTAACACTGCCTCACCTCTTGTCGACGTCGTCTTGGTGGTTCCTGATGTCGGGGTCATCCCCCTTCCTACCCCCACTACAAGTATCACAGGTAACACTGCCTCACCTCTTGTCGACGTCGTCTTGGTGGTTCCTGATGTCGGGGTCATCCCCCTTCCTACCCCCACTACAAGTATCACAGGTAACACTGCCTCACCTCTTGTCGACGTCGTCTTGGTGGTTTCTTATGTCGGGGTCCTGTTCCTCGATGTTCTCCAGGTTGAGAAGGTCTGGGGGGATGTCCTGCATCTGGACACTGGGGGCGTGAATCAGGTTCTTCAGGTTCTCATGAATTGTCTGGCGTATGTGGTCCAGGTACTGAAAACAAAACATCATGACATAATGCTGCTCCAAAAGCACAGTTAGTTGGTGTACCAAAGGAAGTGTAAAGTTTGAAATACACCAAAAAATCACAGCAAACCATTTACAATGAACATTTTATGAAGTAATTTGAAGACTGTAGTTCAAAGACAAGGAAAAGTCCACACTGCTCAATGCCTTAAATATTATACAACACTCCCTTATGTTCTTGATAGAGTGAGGAACTATCTCACTGCTCAATGCCTCAAATAATATACTACTACACTCGCCTATGTTCTTGATAGAGTGAGGAACTGTCTGACAGCTCAATGCCTCAAATAATATACTACTACACTCGCCTATGTTCTTGATAGAGTGAGGAACTGTCTGACAGCTCAATGCCTCAAATAATATACTACTACACTCGCATATGTTCTTGATAGAGTGAGGAACTATCTCACTGCTCAATGCCTCAAATATTATAATACTACACTCGCCTATGTTCTTGATAGATTGAGGAACTGTCTGACTGCTCAATGCCTCAAATAATATACTACTACACTCGCCTATGTTCTTGATAGAGTGAGGAACTATCTCACTGCTCAATGCCTCAAATAATATACTACTACACTCGCCTATGTTCTTGATAGAGTGAGGAACTGTCTGACAGCTCAATGCCTCAAATAATATACTACTACACTCGCATATGTTCTTGATAGAGTGAGGAACTATCTCACTGCTCAATGCCTCAAATATTATACTACTACACTCGGCTATGTTCTTGATAGATTGAGGAACTGTCTGACTGCTCAATGCCTCAAATAATATACTACTACACTCGCCTATGTTCTTGATAGAGTGAGGAACTATCTCACTGCTCAATGCCTCAAATAATATACTACTACACTCGCCTATGTTCTTGATAGAGTGAGGAACTGTCTGACAGCTCAATGCCTCAAATAATATACTACTACACTCGCATACGTTCTTGATAGAGTGAGGAACTATCTCACTGCTCAATGCCTCAAATATTATACTACTACACTCGGCTATGTTCTTGATAGATTGAGGAACTGTCTGACTGCTCAATGCCTCAAATAATATACTACTACACTCGCCTATGTTCTTGATAGAGTGAGGAACTATCTCACTGCTCAATGCCTCAAATAATATACTACTACACTCGCCTATGTTCTTGATAGAGTGAGGAACTATCTCACTGCTCAATGCCTCAAATAATATACTACTACACTCGCCTATGTTCTTGATAGAGTGAGGAACTGTCTGACTGCTCAATGCCTCAAATAATATACTACTACACTCGCCTATGTTCTTGATAGAGTGAGGAACTGTCTGACTGGACTTCGCTCCAGACAATGCTGTTAAACATAGTACAGATACTGTTGTAGAGACACTCTACACTACCTGTTTTGTGTTGAGGTTTTCCTGTTTTGTAGAAATGTCTGGATGGAGTGAGAAATCTGGAGCAAAGTATTCCAGGTATTCTGTAAGGCAAGATCATACAGTCATTATTACATGACATACATTCTATATTCAGTTTAAACCTACATGGTAATATCATCTCAAGGCATCCACTTGGACACATGATGATGAAATGGTGCCAAAAATGTTTGTTTTTGGTACATTCAGCAATATTCCATCTATATGAAAGTGGTCTGTAAATAATCGAATCTCAACCAGACAGCTGTGCAATCCATATGAGTCACAAGCCTTCCTGATGATATGCAATAAACCAAGTCACTGAGTCTGGCCATGTGATCCATTCAGTCGCCTCTTACAACAAGCATAGGTTGCTGGGGACCTATTTTTACCAGGAATACCCACAAATTTGGTGTGCAAAAGATAATCATCCTTTAATTCTTACCATTGTAAGGCAGTTCATTAGAAATCTGGTCGTCCAGTAAGACAGCTGTTTCGTGAGTCCAGCATCGGGCCACGTTCCTCTTTGTGTAGCCCCCTCCTCCCAGGACCATCATGGGCAGCCCATACTCCTTCACCACCTTCACACACTCACTGAAACATGTACAGTGTCACACACTCACTGAAACATATACAGTGTCACACACTCACTGAAACATGTACCGTGTCACACACTCACTGAAACATGTACAGTGTCACACACTCACTGAAATAGACAGTGTCACACACTCACTGAAACATATACAGTGTCACAAACTCACTGAAACATATACAGTGTCACACACTCACTGAAACATATACAGTGTCACACACTCACTGAAATAGACAGTGTCACACACTCACTGAAACATATACAGTGTCACAAACTCACTGAAACATATAGTGTCACACACTCACTGAAACATATAGTGTCCCACACTCACTGAAACATATACAGTGTCCCACACTCACTGAAACATGTACAGTGTCACACACTCACTGAAACATGTACCGTGTCACACACTCACTGAAACATATAGTGTCACACACTCACTGAAACATATACAGTGTCACACAATCACTGAGACATGTACAGTGTCACACACTCACTGAAACATATACAGTGTCACACACTCACTGAAACATATACAGTGTCCCACACTCACTGAAACATGTACCGTGTCACACACTCACTGAAACATATACAGTGTCACACACTCACTGAAATAGACAGTGTCCCACACTCACTGAAACATGTACAGTGTCACACACTCACTGAAACATGTACCGTGTCACACACTCACTGAAACATATAGTGTCACAAACTCACTGAAACATATACAGTGTCACACAATCACTGAAACATATACAGTGTCACACACTCACTGAAACATATACAGTGTCACACACTCACTGAAACATATACAGTGTCACACAATCACTGAAACATATACAGTGTCACACACTCACTGAAACATATACAGTGTCACACACTCACTGAAACATATACAGTGTCACACACTCACTGAAACATGTACAGTGTCATACACTCACTGAAACATGTACCGTGTCACACACTCACTGAAACATATAGTGTCACAAACTCACTGAAACATATACAGTTTCACACAATCACTGAAACATATACAGTGTCACACACTCACTGAAACATATACAGTGTCACACACTCACTGAAACATATACAGTGTCCCACACTCACTGAAACATGTACAGTGTCACACACTCACTGAAACATGTACCGTGTCACAAACTCACTGAAACATATGCAGTGTCACACAATCACTGAAACATATACAGTGTCACACACTCACTGAAACATATACAGTGTCCCACACTCACTGAAACATGTACAGTGTCACACACTCACTGAAACATGTACATAGGTTCACACACTCACTGAAACATCAACATAGTGTCACACTCTCACCGAAACATGTTCATAGTGTCACACACACTGAAACATGTACATAATGTCCCACACTGATTGAAACATATACAGTGTCACACACCTACTGAAACAGGTACAAAGAGCCACACACTCACTGAAACATAGACACACTGAAACATGTATATAGTTGTACACACAGTGTCACATTATCACATTCTCAAAGCATCCAGTGGAACCAATCAGATAGTTCTGTCACACTGAATAATGAGCTGCATCTCACCCATGTCCCTTGATACTGAGGTTGAAGCATCCAAGTCTGTCACTACCGAGGGAGTCAGCTCCACACTGAAACAGTCCACAATGATAAATACACCAAAACGGCAAATCATGGAGACTAAACTGAACAGATACTTGAAAGAACAGTATGAAAATATTCAAACAGCAGATAACACATTACCAAGTTGCAGCTAGGCATGGCTCTCACTTTAACTACAGGTGAGGTGAAATGGGGTTTAACGTCGCATCCAAGATTATTGCACTTATATAGCGGTGTGTGTGTGCTGTGCGGCTGCATGTACAAGACCGAACTGATGTCGATTTATAATGCTAGCCCACTGAGATACCATGCCGCAATTTAACATGAATACCCCCCTCAGAAACAGTATACTGACTCCAAGCCGACCAGTCCTTGTTTTAACCCCTTAATGCCGAGCACCAGACAGGGTAACAACAAGTACCATCTTATAACGTCTTTTGGTATGGTGCGACCAGGGATCGAACCCCAGACCTTCAGCTCTCCGGGCAGACGCGCTACCACTAGACCACGTGGGGCGTTCACATCAACTACAGGACTAGATGTAGGCCATTCTGTCCCAGTGATGTACCCTGACATGGGGCACCTGTTGTGGTTGCAGTGATTTAACTGACAATCCTCTTAGTAACTAACATAACAGGCTTTGGACAGTAACAGGCACATATCTCCAATCCCTACTAATTTGAAGGACAGAAGTGTGCAGTAACCTAATTTGTATCAAACAGTAACATACTGCATCAGCACCTACAGAGCCATTATTCTTTATGTCTATTCACTGCACAACAGTGCTGTCTGACTATGGAGTCTTGCATTAACTAACCTGTAAGACAACACACGTTGGTTGATAAAACTCCATCACAGATGCAATGACAGGCTTGAACACCTGCATGTAGGCTGAAATTGGAAGCAAGAAAACTCATTACCAATGAACAATCAGTGTTGATATGTTTTGCTCACATGCATGAAATCTCCATCTGATAACAGAAACCTCATTATGTTTATACCTCACATGATGCGTTTTTCAATCTGATGCCAAAACCTCATAATGTTGGACTGGCATGTATTTTGCATTCGATACAAACACCTCATTATTATTTCACATGTGGTTTTATAATTTGGAACAGAAAACAAATATACAACACTTGTGGGTGGTATCTGTAATATAACATGTCAATATACAACACTCATGGGTGGTATCTGTAATATAACATGTCAATATACAACACTCGTGGGTGGTATCTGTAATATAACATGTCAATATACAACACTCATGGGTGTTATCTGTAATATAACATGTCAATATACAACACTCGTGGGTGTTATCTGTAATATAACATGTCAATATACAACACTCGTGGGTGGTATCTGTAATATAACACGTCAATATACAACACTCGTGGGTGGTATCTGTAATTAACACATGTCAATATACAACACTCGTGGGTGTTATCTGTAATATAACATGTCAATATACAACACTCGTGGGTGGTATCTGTAATATAACATGTCAATATAAAACACTCATGGGTGGTATCTGTAATTAACACATGTTTGACCAACATACATTTATTTTATAATCTGATATATTTCCAAGCGTACAATTTATAATTACAAATGACTAACGTATCCATTAGTTCGGTTTGTTTGTTGTTTAGCGCTGTACTCAGCAATATTCCAGCTATATGACGGCCTATCCACTTGTGAATGTAGTGGCATTGGTCCATTATAATGGAAACTTAAAGTGTAGATACCTCCATGGAAATATATACTCCTTCAACCTGTTTGTGTAAAGGCAACCACATAGAGCAGAACTTACTTGCATCATCTATTCCTTCTTTGAGAGGAACATTGACCGAGTACTGCCTCCCACTCTCCGCACCAAGCTCGTACATATCACCTGAAGTCCACAAATAATCATGACGATCGCGACAACTGATGAAAATATGTCTCGTTTGAAATCAGTAACTATCAGTGTACATGTTGCATGAAAAACTAGTCCTACTTTCCATAGTGTAATCATACGATCGCTTTGCACTGCAAACAAATAAAACATTCAAACATATTCCTTTAAATCAGAACAGTGTTTCCAGTATGCAATGTGTTGCTGGTACATGATAAACAACAGTTATTTCCTCTGTAGTCATGGTAGTATGCTCTACACTACCTACACACGTTTCATAGATATTAGTAAAATCAAATTTCTTTTACATTTGTATACTTATCCTGCATTACTCCTTAATGCATTCACTGCTTACCTTACGACAACTAGAAGGACAGCGCAACAGCGATGTTCCCGGGTGAAGAAATAAAGTTGTTGTTGTTCTGAAGTCAAAACTGTAAAAACTGACCCTCGCCTCTGTCCTGTGACCTTGATGACACTTAAGGTCACCTTCAACGCCTTCTAGTTGGCATAAGGTAATCAGTGAATGCATTAGGGAGTAATGCAGGATAAGTAAAAAATCTTACTTGGTCTCGACGCCAATCCCTATCATGAGGTTTACCTTAACCTACAAAATGATGTGATACTTTGGACAGCCAATCCCTATCATGAGGTTTACCTTAACCTACAAAATGATGTGATACTTTGGACAGCCAATCCCTATCTTGAGGTTTACCTTAACCTACAAAATGATGTGATACTTTGGACAGTTAATTTGACACCAGAAGGAACCAGTTGAATTCCATTGATGTGAACAGTTAAATCTTGAAGTGCTGTACTGACCTGTTCCTGGGAAGAAGAAGTTGCCATATTTATGGAAGGAAACTGTCATCACTCTGTCTGTGAGGTAGAATGCTTCTTGGACTCCATCACCATGATGGATGTCAATGTCAATATACAACACTCGTGGGTGGTATCTGTAATATAACATGTCAATATACAACACTCGTGGGTGGTATCTGTAGTATAACATGTCAATATACAACACTCCTGGGTGGTATCTGTAGTATAACATGTCAATATACAACACTCGTGTGTGGTATCTGTAATATAACATGTCAATATACAACACTTGTGGGTGGTATCTGTAGTATAACATGTCAATATACAACACTCGTGGGTGGTATCTGTAATATAACATGTCAATATACAACACTCGTGGGTGGCATCTGTAGTATAACATGTCAATATACAACACTCGTGAGTGGTATCTGTAATTAACACATGTCAATATACAACACTCATGGGTGGTATCTGTAATTAACACATGTCAATATACAACACTCATGGATGGTATCTGTAATTAACACATGTCAATATACAACACTCGTGGGTGGTATCTATAATTAACACATGTCAATATACAACACTCGTGGGTGGTATCTGTAGTATAACACATGTCAATATACAACACTCATGGGTGGTATCTGTAGTATAACACATGTCAATATACAACACCCATGGGTGGTATCTGTAATATAACATGTCAATATACAACACTTGTGGGTAGTCTATAATTAACACATGTCAATATACAACACTCATGGGTGGTATCTGTAGTATAACACATGTCAATATACAACACTCATGGGTGGTATCTGTAGTATAACACATGTCAATATACAACACTCATGGGTGGTATCTGTAATATAACATGTCAATATACAACACTCATGGGTGGTATCTGTAATATAACATGTCAATATACAACACTCATGGGTGGTATCTATAATTAACACATGTCAATATACAACACTCGTGGGTGGTATCTGTAGTATAACATGTCAATATACAACACTCGTGAGTGGTATCTGTAATTAACACATGTCAATATACAACACTCGTGGGTGGTATCTGTAGTATAACACATGTCAATATACAACACTCATGGGTGGTATCTGTAATTAACACATGTCAATATACAACACTTGTGAGTGGTATCTGTAATTAACACATGTCAATATACAACACTCATGGGTGGTATCTATAATGAACACATGTCAATATACAACACTTGTGGGTGGTATCTGTAATATAACACATGCCAATATACAACATTCGTGGGTGGTATCTGTAATATAACACATGTCAATATACAACACTTGTGGGTGGTATCTGTACTATAACATGTCAATATACAACACTCATGGGTGGTATCTGTAATTAACACATGTCAATATACAACACCTGTGAGTAGTATCTGTAATTATTATCCATAGGGTTATAAATAACAGAGTTCATAAGAATTTATGTGCACAAGTGCAAAAATCACTTCATGTGGACCAGTGTTTTTTTACATTGAGTGGACGGCATTGTTGACGTTATACAAATCTCATTGTGACGGATGGAATGATGTCACACAAGAATTGCTGTCATAGCTGAAGATTGTTGACATCATTGGGCAACATGGTCTTTGAGGACGGCAGTCTTGATCAGTGTATTTTTCTAAAGGGGGAGCTCAAATAGATCAAGACATAATATGTGATAAAGGTAATTATTACAACCGTGCGTGGTCTTACTGATTTTACAAAATTTGTCTAAGACTTCATGTATGATACAAGAAATACAAGAATTTTGACACTCATCTCGTAAAATCAGTATGACAACTGTGCTCACATAATAATCTCTATTCAACACATGTCACTTGTGGAATGTCACTTGTGGAATGTCACTGCTGACTTTTTCTAATAACCAATAACCGTGATGACAAAAGTGTTACACTAACAGTGTTAGTATTATTCAAATCAAGGTGCACAGATAGTACTTACTTCAACAGTTCGAGGATTGCAATGACAATGTCATTCACGTAACAGAAGCCAGATGCCTAGAAAAGACATAAAACTGTTAGCCACATGTTATATATCCGATACTACAATCACTGCTTATTATCAACATTATTATTAAACAAGGAATAGAACGTGCAACATATTGCATGATTATCTGGGCATGCTACACGGCGGATTCACAGCTATGTACCGCCCGGCTTTCACTATCCGACCTCTACTGGTCGCTAACACACAGATACAACTCCCTCATTTAGTAAGATACTTATAGACTGATACTGATCCTGCAATACCTGTCAGATATGCCCAGTAAACATCTTGAAGAATATCACGCAAATTTGTATACCAACTAGTTTCCAAACCATTTTCTAAGTATACCATATAGTTTCATTGACGTTTTTATTTGAACTGGAAATTATGACCAAGTTGAGTCTTTCCTCCAATTAACATCATGCGTTATAGGGAGCAGGTATATCCTGGATATGGTCAGTTTACCTCATACTTCTTGGCATGATGCAGACCCCCAGACCAGTTGACAGCAATATCACAGTGCTGCAGGAGGAGAGGAGAAACTATCAGGGTATAAAGTCAGTTCTTCCAATTCATCATGATACATGTCAACAACATTTATTTGTTTGTTTGTTGTTTAATGTCACACTCAGCAATATTCGAGATATATGACTGTGGTTGGTAAATAATCAAGTCTGGAACATCAATCCAGTGATCGACATCACGAGCATCGATCTACTGAATTGGGATATGATGACATGCATCAACCAAGTCAGCGAGCCTGGCCAGTTGATCCTGTTAGTCGCCTCTTACGACAAGCATAGTCGCCTTTTACGGAAAGCTTGGGTTGATGAAGACCTATTCTACCCTGGACCTTCGCCGGTCACGACATGGCAGATCGGGCAGTTTGATTGGCTTCCCAGAGGTCTCGGTGATTGTCAGTTGACTCAACTCATTTTACATGCTTCTTCATATGGTCATAAACTTTCCAGGTTTGGGCTACTAGAATCAAACATTTTTGGTACAGACTGTGTATGCCCATGACGTATGGGATCTCCTTGACTTCCTTTATAACTTCTAACACTGTCTAACATGCATAAACATGCTAAGTTGCAATAAGGTTAACCATTTAGCATAATCTACTCTTGTGATCTTACAACTACTTAAAAAATACCCCATCTTATCCTGTTTGTACTTACATTGTTGTTTAGTTTGACTGCCCCTTCTAATGAGGCTCCAGTGTACATTGCACAGAAGTCAAACAATCCATCAAACACAGGACTGAAAAGAGACATTCACATACATGTCATCACAGATTCTTAACATGTTTAAAAATAATCAGGATGTGCTCAGTATCTGCATCACAGGACCATTATGGTTGCAACATTTTTCAGAATGATTTCCATCAATTCATAACAGTAAAACATTTATCAAATACTGGATAAGACATACATAATATATGGTCAAAATTTGGTGTTTTTAACGAAACACACTCATTGCAAATCAAGGAATTTATCTGCTTAAGCATAATAAGGGAACTTATGAGAACAGTATGAAAAATCACTTCACATGTTTAAGACTATTTATGCCATTCTAGATCTTTGACACATAAGAAAGTAACAAAGCATCATTTATCATATTTATTGTGTCTGTCCTCGTGAAAATTGATCCACAGACCTTCAGCATATTTAACACATTCAAGAGGTTAATACTGACATCTTTAAAACATGTCTATATCGAACACCATGTACAGAATTGACATGCTCTGTAGTAAACCTAGCACACAATCTCACCAGTCTTCCCCCACGTTGAACATACTAAGTGACTTTGTGAAGCTCTGGACATTGTTTGGTGTCACTCTTCGGAGGAAATCAATGTAATCTTCAGAGTGAAATCTACACATGTCATGGAAGGTAGCTCTGTACGGTCTGTACACCTGTAGCGAAAAAATATAGAGTATGCATCTGATTATGTCATAACAATGAAAAAGACCATAGGCATGATGAACAGTGATATGTGTCATCATTTATCGTAACTGATGGGATATATTGTCATGATTAAATGGAGTTTTAATCATGTTAATATGAAGTCCATAAGGCACACCAATGGCTTTCTACAACATACTCCACATCAACCATAAGCATGCATAGCAGACATACTGGCTTAAATATGATAAAGGTAGCATCAAACACTCAGTCCATGAATTGCCCAAATTGCAAAACCAGCCTTATATTAAATTGTGAAGTTATATTACGTAAGTTTAAGGTGCTTCTTTCTACACTTGTGCTGGTAATGGTAGATGACAAATCTTTGAGGTGTATTTGCAGAAAGGACATTTTTCATGTTTTTTAGGTCAAATGTTTCTTTCCATCTTCCAGCCTTTGGATATCGCTCAATAGCTTCCTTAAGTTGCTGCTGAATCACCATCAACATGATAAGGATGTTCTAATTTGGGAGTCGACCAGTCTAGTAACCATGGTAATACAATGATAATTATCACATTCAAGGGTCCCAGACAGGTAAATCATTTCAATATAAAAACATATTTAAGGCCAGATTTGAACTGTTAACTACAAGTGACAGTGGTGAATGTATCTGCACCCTGCTGCTCTCTTTACCTTCATTTTCTTGTAGAGTCCATAATGTAACACAAGGCAGTGTGTCAGTGATATTCTGTGTGGTTTCATAGGATGACCTGGCCCTAGAGAACATAACAAAATATCAGGCTTGGTGATCCTGGCTTTATTCACGACCATGATGATACTATGCACTCATGGTACATTGATACAGGCAGAAACATAATAACAGGTACTTGAAACATTAATATCTGTTAGACATACATGTACCTACAGCATGTTCAGAGGGGCTTCACTTCAAGGGTTATTCCGCACAATGTTTCCATGATAATCGATGAGTGCAGTACTGACAGCAGTCAGTATGAGCTTTCCCACAAATACACAATCCATGACAGTGAAAGTCAAATTTTTACAAATTCTTATTTCCTTTTTTGATCATTCTTTTTACACGGGTAACCTATTGCAAACTTTGTCATGTTTGAACAAAAAACAAAAGTTCAAAGCATATAACAATGACACCATACATATCATATATCATAAAAACAAAACATTAACACGGGGCTGATAAGGTTACTTTCATTATTTGTGTAAATGAAAACAATGGCTGTCCTCCTTTGGCTTTTTCATAGGTATTTCCCCTGTTTGTATGCGATGTTTAGTGCGCTACGTGCTTGTCATACAAACCATAATGAAAGTTGCCAACATCCTGGTCATAGAAGTAAGCAACTGTTGGAGTAGGCATTGTTAATTAGGTTTTATTGGCGCAAATTATGGATCACATAACTCAGAATATGAGGAAATCCCAAGGCTGTAGCCTTTCTGTACCGGAAGCTGCTCTGCGGCGCCCTCTGCAGCCAAGGGAGTTAATTCGACACAGTCGAAAATCATGTGACGTCATATAGCAACGTGACAGCATGTAAACATTGACGTGGACTTCCGCGTTTAGTCATCTGTCAGTACGTGACACGTGGAGGTTTTCTATATCACGCCCGTGACGTAAATAATTTAAACCTATATATAAAATGAAGCCTCTTACAATTGTATCAGAATTTCAACTGACGTTGACAGATAAAGTGAGTTTAATAGCCAGTGAGCAAAACTACCACGATGATGTCAGTCGCACACATGCCATGTACCGTTACCTCTCAGCCAAGTCAGGAACCGATTTTTAGCCACCAGTATCAAGACGAAACAGTTCTTGATGCTGAAATAAGTAATGTGTTAAACTCAGTGAAGGATTTACTGAAGAAATACAGAATGTACAGCAAGGCGGCGGAGTCCAGTGTTGTTTCGGGCGGACTGCAACAGTATCTAATCAGACAATTAAAGCGGAAAAATGTTACCCCGGACAAGTCAACACTAGAGCGTCTACAAGCTCTTTACCTCAAAGATTCGTCAACTGTTCACATGCTGCCAGATAGTGTGTACAACAATGAAAATGAAAACAATACTCCGCGATTTAACCGTCTTCCAGTAAGTATATTATGCGAAACGTCATATATCGTTTGTTTGTTGTTTAACGCTGCACTCAGCAATATTCCAGCTATATGACGATGGTCTCTTAATATTCGAGCCTGGACCAGGCAATCCAGTGATTGACATTATGAGCATCGATCCACACAAGTAGAATACAATGACATGCATCAACCAAGTCGGAGAACCAGATCACCCGATCCGTTAGTCGCCTCTTATGACAAGCACAATTACCTTTTAAGGCAAGCATGGGTTGCTGAAGACCTATTATTCAGATCTTCGCAGGTTTGTTAAATATCGATAACGAACAGCTATTTATTGTTGATATCAACAAATTTTGACGAAAGTGATGATATTATTATCAAATTTTATAGCTAAAATGGATAGAACTATCATTAAACCGCCCGCATGTTATCAGAAATGAGCATGCCACTATAACTTGATAATGCCCTCATACTGCTTGACGACGGGCCATTATCATGCCTGTTTTGGGGTGAGGTCATATTGATGTTCAATAGTGACGTCATCTGGTTTGTTCTATGATGTTCCCATATTTGTAAAAGTGGGTCAGTGACATTTGTTGTGTGTTGATTGGAGTAAATGTTTCAAAACCGATATTTTTTTATATTATTATTTGATTATAAATTCGATCCATTTGAGCTATAATAATGGTAATGCTATTTTTCAGGGCATTATCATTTGCAGAAGCCCTTGGTCTTTTCAACTGCACTTCTTTGTCGGGCAGTAATGGAAGACCTTTGGCTTCTGCAAATGATGATGCCCTGAAAAATAGTGTTACCCTTTTGATGAAGTCATAATTTCTGTATACTGTCTTTAGACAATAAAAGGTGCAATTTCAGATCTCTGTTTCTTTCACATTATAAAAAATTTTTAAAAATTGTTAATTACATCTGAGTAGATGTAATTAAGATATATATTTTTTATCAACACAAAATATTTCTAAAACATCCATGCTCATTCACTGTCACACAGCAATGCCCAATGAGCAAGGTTAGCACGTACAGATCTGACAGGGTGAAATATTACCATTTTTATTTAATTAGATATGATTATGTCTGGTTTATGTCATTATTATCATCAACCATTGATTATTTATTAGTCCATATTAATCATGTCTTTAAAATTTCAGGTAAATTTGAAGCTGCACATTTTTTCCTTTCTGGATGCACAAGGATTGTGTCAAGCCAGTCGAGTGTGCCGTGGCTGGTGTCAGCTGACCTCTGATGCATTGTTATGGCAAAGGAGACTCAAGGCAGATTTACCGAGATGGGATGTTCTGTCTCACACAGCCAATCCTAAACTGTATCAGGAAACAGAGTCAGAACTGACGGATAAGGAAGTGTAAGTATTTCTTTGTACTAGTAGTAATTGTAACAAATCATGATTCTTTTTTTTGAGTTTCTTTACTTTACACCATTTCAGTTATTTCTGATGGAATATGATTTAATTATCATTGTCACTGTCTGGTTATTATTATCTGATTATATTTATTAATAATTTCAACTTGTTCGGCATTAATTTTTATATGGTAAATATCAGACAGCAACAGCAAGTTAAGACATGGACAAGGTTGTAGGGCTGGGATGGGTAACTCAGGTCCTTGTGCCAGGTAGGTACTGAGTAGGACCCCTGTACCCACATGACTACCCGAAGCCTTGGTTAGTCACGTGATATATTGTTAAATGATGAAAATTATCTTGAATTCCATAGTTACACAACAAATCGCTTATATTGGCATTTCTTTCTGACAATGCATGCAAACCTTGTGACCTTTATATGTTTTACGGGGTGGTCGGGTAGTCTCGTGGTTAACCCGTTCGCTCGTCACGCCAAAGACCCTGGTTTGATTCCTGACATGGGTTCAATGTGTGAAGCCCATTTCTGGTGTCCCCCGCCGTGATATTGCTGGAATATTGCTAAAAGCGGCGTAAAACATCCCTCAGTCAGTCAATCAGTCAGTTAGGAAAGGCTCGGTAATAGGGAGTTGGGTACCGGGGTAGTAAATTTGGACTCGTCCCAGCCCTACAAGGTTGCATTAGTATTTAAGGCATAGGTACAACTCTTTATCAATGATAATAATTCATATGTTTTAAAAAAAAATGATGATGCTTAATCAATCCTTTTATTTTCAGTTACTTTAAATGTTCCCCTGAAGTTCAGCAGTGTCAGAGGCAGGAGTTGTCCACATTCCACCAAGTATCACAAGTGCTCAAGTCATTCCTCCCAAAGAAAGCCCCTCGAGTAGCCATGTTTGGACCAGGCCTTGAAACCAACACCAGCGGCATTGTCAGGAAGATGCTGTATGAAGACAATGAAACATTCCAAAGAATAGCGATGTTTCCTGGACAGTTTGAAGGTGGGTCACATATACCTGGAAATAGAAAATAAGTACTGAGGAAATAAGGTGGGGTGAGGTAAAATGGGGTTTAATGTTTTGTCCAAGATTATTGCACTTATTTAGCGACGTGCATGCACGTTAGTGGGTGGCTGCTTGTACTAGTCTGGACTGTTGCCGAATTATAGTGCTATCCCACTGAGATACCATGCCGCAGTTTAACATTAATACCCCACTCAGACACAGTATACTGAGCCGACCAATCCTTCTTTTACCCCCTTAATGTCGAACGCCAGACAGGATAACAACAAGTACCATCTTTTAATGCCTTCGGTATGACACAGCCGGGGATTGAATGGTGAACGGCGGACGCTCTACCACTAGACCACGGAGGTGGTCCCTGAGGAAATAATGACCCATCCCTATGTTGTTTATGATTCCTTTGAATATCCTACCTCTATTACGCCATCAATTCCTGCTTTGGCTGTCATCACACAGAAAAGAAGTATGGCATTTATGGCTGTGATGTAATTGCGGTGGTAATGTTAGAATTATACTCAATGATAACTGTTGTTTGATTTTGTTTGACAACTCTCAAAACCCCCTCTCACTCACTCTTGAGATCCGGAGTAGAATAGGTCTTCAGCAAACGATTGGCCGTAAAAGGCGACTATGCTTTTCGTAAGGGGCAATAAATGGGATCGGGTCGTCAGGCTCACTGACTTGGTTGATGCATGTCATCGTATCCCATTTGCGTGAATCGATGCTCATGACATCAATCACCAGACTCGATTATTTACAGACCACCGTCATGTGTCAGGAATATTGCTGAGTACAGCGTTAAACAACAAACAAACAAACAAACAAACACTCTTGAGTCAGCATTAGAGCCTGTTTATTTGTACAGGTGACACAGTCAGTGGGTTGATTCAGTGACAGTGTATTCATGTTGTAATTTCTCTCTGCTCTACAGGAATGGGGGCTGGTATGACGATGAAGCTGCCCAAAGGGAACAGCTTCCACCTGACTGTTCTGTACACAGCGACAAAGAGGGAGCGAGAGATGACACAAAACCGAGATAGACTGGCTACAAATAAACTGCTGAGTAAGCAGAAACAGAGTCAGGATGGCAGTGATAGTGAAACCTACGAGCTCCAGCAGTCAATCAAAGATCTGTGTCACACTCTAGATGCCTTTGTGTTTGTAGTGGATGCTTCCTGCTCAGTGGAAACAGGTGAGTCTGCCTTTCATGTTAATCTAGGGGCGGTCGGGTAGCCTAGTGGTTAAAGCGTTCGCTCGTCACACCAAAGACCCGGGTTTGATACCCGACATGGGTACAATGTGTGAAGCCCATTTCTGGTGTCCCCCACCGTGATATTGCTGGGATATTGCTAACAGTGGCGTAAAACCATACTCACTCACTCACTCACTCGTAATCTTGTCGGTCCTGCCCCGACAAGGAGTTTCATTGTCACTTTGGTCTGCCTCTGATCATGTCATACATAGATTGTCGATATTTTAAGAGTGAGTGAGTGAGTATGGTTTTACGACGCTTTTAGCAATATTCCAGCAATATCACGGCAGGGGACACCAGAAATGGGCTTCACACATTGTACCCATGTCGGGAATCGAACCCGGGTCTTCGGCGTTAAGAGCCAACGCTTTAACCACTAGGCTACCCGACCGCCCCGATATTTCAAGAGGAATGGATGGTGTGGTGTCTGGTTTCTGGGCAGACTCTCAACACAGACATCATGTTTCATTCAATAGAGGCACACCTCGACATGGAAATGAAGTCCTAACAAATCTGATACAGTTCATTCAAACACCCCTTTTGTGCGAACTCAAATTTTATGAAGTATTTAAGTCTCACAGTTAAAGCTTGTTGTACTTACACAGCGACATTGTCTCACACAAGTCACGATTATAAAGTCTAGACATACAGACCACCCATAACATTGATACAAACCCATTCCACGAATATCTCTATTCTCATTTACGGCTAGTTCAATGACAGATAAGGCGACTATGCTTGTCGTAAGAGGTGACTAACGGGATCGGGTGGTCAGGCTCACCGACTTGTTTGATGGATGTCATCATATCCCAGTTGTTTAGATCGATGCTCATGATGTCAATCACTGGATTGTCTGGTCCAGACTCGATTATTTACAGACCGCCGTCATATAGCTGGAATATTGCTGAGTGCAGCGTTAAACAACGAACAAACAATCTCAGATATCAATTTCTCTAATTCCTCACTCACATATGTTATCTTTTATTTCTTTATTAACATTCTCGTTTATCATGATTACATGTATTGACTTGCAAATATTGCAAATAAACATTATTTTTCACTATTTTTATTTCAGTGGAGAGCGGTAAAAGAGAGCTATTTGCCATGATCAATGAGAGATGGTTAGCTCCGTATGTTCCAGTTCTGGTGCTCTCGTGTATCCCAGAATCCTCTTCTCACAGACTTTCTGCTAGCGATGTTGTGCTGGCACTAGATCTCTGTGAGCTGAACAGGCCGTGGCTGGTAGGTAGCCCTATTGGGGACAACTGTCACGCCAGTGTCCACCCTCGATAGTCCTTTCCTTTATTATTATTACCCTGGACTTATTCATCACCTTAGCTTTGTTTAGCAAGTGACATCACCATCTCTCAGATCCCTAACTTGGTGTAGCGGCCATGAAATGTACGAGTCCCGTGATAGGATTCAAAGCACGGACCTTCTGATCCGAGGTCGGACGCCTTGTCCACATGACCAAAGAGGTTAACCCCGTCAGCAAGCTGACAAGGTAAGGATGTCATCTGTGGGATGACTCCACGCCCTGCTACATACTTCCTCGTCAACAGAAGGCACATCCCGGGCTGCATAGTAGGGTACCGAGGCTTATTTTGCTCAAATTTAATATGAACATGCTCCGCCCCACGTTGGGTGCCAATGTAGCGGGCATAAAATTTCCGAGTCCCGTGATGGGATTCGAACCACTGACCTTCTGACCCGAGGTCGGACGCCTTGTCCACATGACCATAGGGTTAACCCCGTCAGCAAGCTGACAAGGTAAGGATGTCATCTGTGGGATGACTCCATGACCTGCTACATAGGCAAAGAATTTATCCCCCTTATCATGCTCATGAGCTGGAAATATAACAACCAATCCCAACGACTCTTTGCGATAAGAGTTTTGCATCAATTGACATTCAAAATTGATGGCATTGTATGAGCAAGCCCTCAATATATTTTATAGAATCAGAAGATTGTTATGGATAAACTTTCATCTGTAAAAGATGATTTCGTGACTATTAAAACAGAACAAGGGGGGGTCATAATGTGTCCAGGCATGTTTAGATCTATCTGAGACAGTATTGAACAAGATTTTGTTTGTTTGTTGTTTAACGCCACACTCAGCAATATTCCAGCTATATGATGGCGGTCTGTAAAAAATCGAGTCTGGAGCAGACAATCCAGTGGTTAATATCATGAGCATCGATCCACGCAATTGGGATCGATGACTTGCATCAACCAAGTCAACGAGCCTGACCACCCAATTCTGTTAGTCGCCTTTTACAACAAGCATAGTCACCTTTTACGGCAAGCATGGGTTGCTGAAGGCCTATTCTACCCCGGAATCTTCACGGGTCGTATTGAACAAGAGAAACGTCTCCGTGGTCTGGGGGTAGAGCATCTGCCAGGAGAACGGAAGGTTTGGACTAAGATCCCCGGCCGCGTCATACTAAAAGATGGTTCTTTTTGTTGCTTTGCCTGGCGCTAGGCATTAAGGGGCTAAAACAAGGACTGGTAGGCTCGGAGTCAGTATACTGTGTCTGAATGGGGTATTCATGTGCATGCACGTTGCTATATAAGTGCAATAAACTTTGACGTAACATTAAACCTCACCTCACCATTGAACAAGAAAAATCAAACATCACTACTTGATTTAATCATGAAGTGTAATTTGATTGGACAGCTGTTTTAGCAACTTGTTGTTTGAACCGGAGTCAAAGAGAACGTATGGTGGCGAAGAGGTCCAGGGTATATATCAGAATAGAATGGAATATGAATACACTGGATAATCGAGCATGGTTCATGTCATGTGATTATGTCTGTCAATCCATACTCTAAAGCAACTTAACATGTTTTTTTAGATTGTGAGAGGCGCTTAAACAGTTCTGACATATAATGAAGAAGTGCATCATTTTTGTAGTTTTCACAATGGTTGACGTAGCTGAATTAAAACACAAAAACCCACTACAAATATTGAATGAAGCATACATAATATATTTGAACATCTAAAGTTCTCCTTATTAAAAGCTCTATGTCTTAAATTCTTAAAAATATGAAAACATTTTTTAAAATATTTTGTTTACTAATTACATGTTCCAAAATTGTCACACAAGAGTTAAAAATCTTTCAATTAAAGTCTGTTTCCACCTGTGGCAGAGGTAGAAAGTATTATGGTCACTAGTCTTTATGAGGATCTGGGGTAGAAAAGGTCTTCAGCAACCCATGCTTGCTGTAAAAGGCGACTGTGCTTGTCGTAAGAGGTGACTTACGGGATCAGGTGGTCAGGCTCGCTGACTTGGTTGAAGCATCTCATCGTATCCCAATTGCGTGGATCGATCTCATGAAGTCCATCACTGGATTGTCTGGCCCGGACTTCATTATGTACAGACCACTGTCATTAGCTGGAATATTGCTGACTGCACGTTAAACAACAAACAAACAAACAAACAAAAGTCCTTATGATGACATACTCATAGATGTATTTCATTGTGGTTTGCAGGTGAGAGATGCTGTGGTTGACAGTTTGTCAGGTGTGGAGAAAGGAATACAATGGATTGTTGATCAGTCTCAGCACAAGTACACAACAACAAACTGACAAGGAAGATTAGCAAGGGATGTTCTGGTGCAGCAGCATAATTGCAGGAGGCTGCATGCTGACTGCACACTGACTGCACACTGACTGCACACTGACTGCATGCTAACTGCACTCTGACATGAAAGTCTCTGCAAACTGATTTGGAATCAAGCAATATTTCATCACCGACTTACATGCAGACATGGGTCATTGTGATGTAGACAATTATGTGGACAATTGCATCATAGTGTACATCACTGAGTATCTGAGAGGGCCATATGTGATATTGTCATATATACTCTGGTTCATGTTTGATATTTGTTTTTTTATCTATTTTCATATTGTTAAAATATTGTTTTTGAAATCAATCAAATAAAAATGACACTTTTGAAATCAATAAGTGTGTATTGTTCATGTATGTGTGATCTCGACCATGACAAGCACCAATTATAAAATGGCGATACTGTTTTGAAATCAATTAGTGTGTAATATTCAAGTACTGGTATGTGTGATCTCATTTTGTTTGTTTGTAGTTTAACGCCGCATTCAGCAAAAGACCACCTATATGACAGCGGTCTGTAAATAATTGAGTCTGGACCAGATTATCCAGTGATTGACATCATGAGCATCGATCCACGCAATTGGGATACGATGACATGCATCAACATGTGTCTGTATCTATCTATATATCCTGGACCATAGTCCTCTCTAGTCCTTCAGAGTTCATATATGCAATATGTATTATACTGACGTGTTGTAGTCAGCAGAGTCGTGAAAGAGTGAGTGAGTGAGTAAGTTGGGTTGAACGCTGCTGTTAACAGTATTCCAGTTATATCACGGCATGTCAGCTTAATGTGGGAGGAAAGCCCGAAGTGATGCAGGTCTCAGACGTTTACCACTTCGGTGAAACCCAGGAGCACGGGTATGGTGCTGAGAAACCTTATAACATAATCAGGGCGAACCGGGATTCAAACTCACAAGCATAGGTTTCTGGCGTGCCCAAGGGACGCAACTCTGCACAGCGAATCGCATACGACTCGTGGTGAAAGAAGCCAACTCTACTCTAGTCCTGGAAATTACACCGAGTGAGGAAGGTGATCAAGACTACTTCAGGCCTGAGTTCCCATACCTCCACGAGGAAGGAAGTTCATAACAACGACTCCAATATGGTCGTTGCGAGTTCGTATACATACATTTAGGGAGGTAGGGAACATGGCCTTGAAACTTGGAGAAAATGGGTTTTCGACCAATTATCCTTTATATGAAATCAGATGAAGAATGCTTGAAAATACTTATCGAGACCAGATATTTTTCACCCACAACTGCAAAACCAGATATTCTTTAGTTTAAAACTAAGAGCCAAAAATCTTATAGTTTGTGTCTATTCATTTGTAAGCAGATCTTATTTCATATCCACCAGGAACATTCATTAAGAACAGAATAGCATAGATCAAAGGAATGTTCTGGAAAAGAAAATACAGTTAGTGCCCTGTATCTACGAATAGACAGTAGATACTACTATAACAATGCGAAAATCATTATATTTTTCTTCAAGTTTTATCAAAATCAAATATATTCTACCACTTTAAGTTTCACATTCCCGAGCCAGTAAACGCTACATAGTTTACAGGACGTCTATCATAATACGTAACGCTTGGAGCTTATGGACGCTTATGTCCATATTTTAACTGAATTTATGAATGATGTACACTATGAACATGATTGACATTCACTGAGCACAATGTTGTAAGAGACCATGGCGTTTATACTATGGTACCTTAATGAGTCCACTTTTATGTAACTCATTATCATTTCTTAACTATTGATTTCAATATCTTAATGTTTTACTAGTTAATTGCTCATCGTGATGTCTTAACTATGAAATAGAATACTGAGATGCTGTTGAATGTATGTTGTTGCCTTTTGACGTCACATAATAAACATTCCTGCATTTCGCCTGAGAACCTCTCTGTCTGTTTTTGAAGGCGTGGAGATCCCGGAGTTAATTCCCCGTAACAATTCTAGGCATAAACGGTCCCTTAAAACGGACTGTTTCAATTGGTGGAGCTTATCCTAGATGACCGGTGCCACGCCTACCAACTACAAACAGAAGTTTCGACGGCCTGAGCCAAGGTTGAACTTAACCAGTTTGCTCAAGACGCAGGAATCATCCCTTCCAGTCCCCCCTCCCTAACAATCCCCGCAACAACGTCATCAACGGCATCAACATCAAAAGCATCAACGTCCAGGACAAGATCATTACCAGCGCCATCTCCATCCTCCTCATCTGTATCAACAGCCTCTTCATCAGCAGCTGAACCTCCATCTCATACAATGGACACACCAAATGTCAGGCTGAGGCCATACACGGGACAAGAGAAATCATCAAGAAATCAACAAAGAGTGCACTGGCCTCAAAAGCTAAAGATCCCAAATTCTCAGTAGGTGATCTAGTCCTGATGCAAAATTCCCATGTTCTCCCTGGTAGGTCCCCGGAACTGTCAGTTAAATGGGTAGGTCCCTACACCATACTTGAGCTTGGTCCCAATCATACGTTCAAGCTACAACATGTTCAAACGAACAAGACCCACAAGGCACTTATCCATGCCAATCGCCTCAAGCCCCACAATGTTCGCACTTCCAACGAACGCCTTCCAGATCACACTCCCAACCATGGTCGTCATTCTCCTCTTCCCAGCACGTCTGCTGATGCTGACACATCCTCAGACACACAGGTGGTTCTTCCAGAGCCACACATCAGTGATACAGGCTCTGCACCACCCATTGCCCGCCAACAGGTTGACAAATCTCAAGATAATCAAACGTATCCTGTTGACAAAATTATCAGATGTAAAATGGCAAACGGTACCAAACAGTACCAAATCAAGTGGTTAGGCTACTCAGAAACGACCTGGGAGCCCGCCTCCAATCTTGATCCATCACTGATCAAGCACTTCCATAGGTCTAGAACAATGTCTGGTAAGAAGCGCAAACACGGACATAAGTACTTCCAATGATTCATTTGCATAGGTGTTATCAAGCTACCCCCTATCTTTTGTGACGTGAATTGCATGACCATAAGATATGAGTGACCACCCCTTTGCAGTTACCAAGTGTTCTGTGTCCCATAGTGCTAGGTTGTTTATTACGTTTGCTTGTTTGTTGTTTAACACACACACACACACACACACACACACACACACACACACACACACACACACACACACACACACACACATTATATACTCGTACCCGTTGTTGTTCTGTTGACATGTTGGTTTTACTTACAGAGCTGTTCGCCAAAACGCACAAGATGCATTATAGATCGCGTAAACGCACCATCGAATAGCTATGACTGCACGTGAATTGAGAGGGTTTGGTCAGGCTTGCTGAGTTGGTTGATACAGTCATCGTATCCTAATTGCGTGGATCGATGCTCATGATATCTATCTGGTCCAGAATCGATTATTTACAGCCCGCCGTCATATAGCTGTAATATTGCTGAGTGCGGCGTTAAATCAATCAAACAAGTTCCGAGAACGGATTCCAAAACATCTGGTGGCTACAGTAACAGTCTCAAAATAGCGGTTGAAGACGTCGTTACATCCTGGTACTGACAGGATATGTATCCCCGTCGCTGTATCCACGACTTGTGCCTACGACCAAGGTGACGCTATACCTAAAACTCATTCACTGTTTGACTTACATTTCCTTTCAGTCGCAGGGTCGGTCGGGTAGCCTAGTGGTTAAAGCGTTCGCTCGTCACGCCGAAGACACGGGTTCGATTCCCGACATGGGTACAATGTGTGAAGCCCATTTCTGGTGTCCCCCGCCGTGATATTGCTGGAATATTGCTAAAAGCGGCGTAAAACCATACTCACTCACTCACTCCTTTCAGTCGCCTGTTTTCTTCTTTAAGTGCCCTGTTTTCCTTTCGTAATTGCCGGTTTTTCTCTCGGAGTGCCAACAATTCCGCCGATTCAGAAACTTGTCAAACAAATGAATGTCCGATATTGCAACAATAATTAACCCGCACATACTGCCCGGGAAAAGAAAGTAGACAACCATTCGTGATGGTGGCTAAAATGTCGGCGGTTTTCGTCACGTAATAGACCGCCTCCGTGGTCTAGTGGTAGCGCGTCCACCCGGAGAGCGGAAGGTCCGGGGTTCGAACCTCGGCCGCGTCATACCAAAAGACGTTAAAAGATGGTACTTGTTGTTACCCTGTCTGGCGCTAAAAGGCCTAAAACAAGGACTGGTCGGCTCGGAGTCATACTATACTATACTGTGTCTGTGTGGGGTATTCATGTTACACTGTGGCATGGTATCTCAGTGGGCTAGCACTATAAAATCGGCATCAGTCCGCGCGCACACACGCACACACACACACACACACGTACGTGTGCATGCACGTGGCTATGTAAGTGCAATAATTTTGAACGCGACGTTAAACCCCATTTCACCCCACCTCGTCACGTAATCTCAACAGTTCGGCCGCATCAGACGTCTATCGCATATAAATAAATGTCAAATATTGCAATGTTTATAATGATTTACAGCAAAATATAACATAATAAATAATTCACTTTCATTTACTGATTTATTTTCCCAATACTCTATGTAGGAAGGTAGTGTCATCTCATCCCGTATCAATGAACGTCAGTCTCGTTATTTGGTCAGAAATCCCCGTGCTGAGACAGTACATCAAACTTCCATTTCAGTGTCAATGAGACGTTTTGGTTTAGATTTTTTACAAGCAGGTTAAAATATAACTGGGTAATACGCCATGGCGGATGCCGTGGCCTTGTCTGTGTGTGGCCAGGGGCCTTGACTGCTGAGACCGAAGAGCCTGCGCTGAATACTGTACAAAAGTACGGAGAAAGTTGAACATTATGACAAACTATGAAATCTGGTGAAGGGAACGATGCGATGAACGACGACCGTGATATATCTGGAGCCTGGAGAGTTTGCTGTGGAGCCTTGAGAGTTTGCTGTGGAGCCTGGAGTATTGGTTGTGGAGCCTGGAGACTTGGCTGTGGAGCCTGGAGACTTGGCTGTGGAGGCTGGAGACTTGGCTGTGGAGCCTGAGGACTTGGCTGTGGAGCCTGGAGAGTTGGCTGCGGAGCCTGGAGACTTGGCTGTGGAGCCTGAGGACTTGGCTGTGGAGCCTGGAGTGTTGGCTGTGGAGCCTGGAGACTTGGCTGTGGAGCCTGGAGTGTTGGCTGTGGAGCCTGGAGTGTTGGCTGTGGAGCCTGGAGAGTTGGCTGTGGAGCCTGGAGACTTGGCTGTGGAGCCTGGAGAGTTGGCTGTGGAGCCTGGAGAGTTGGCTGTGGAGCCTGGAGTGTTGGCTGTGGAGCCTGGAGTGTTGGCTGTGGAGCCTGGAGTGTTGGCTGTGGAGCCTGGAGACTTGGCTGTGGAGCCTGAGGACTTGGCTGTGGAGCCTGGAGTGTTGGCTGTGGAGCCTGGAGTGTTGGCTGTGGAGCCTGGAGTGTTGGCTGTGGAGCCTGGAGTGTTGGCTGTGTGCGGAATGATTGTGAGGAATGATGGCGATATGTGACGGAAAACCGTGATGCACACGTGGAAGTGTCCGTGTTTTATACCGCGAGTTACCGCCGATCACACCAACAGGCCTCCTTTGGTATTCAGGAACAGAGTAAATACATTGGTTACATCCTTTTGAACATCCTTGAAAATCCTTGAAAATGGAGTCTGCTTGAGATGTGTTGTGTGAGAAAAGGCTGTGAATGAACTTGTCAGTCCCGGACTTTTCATGGAACACGCCATGCTCTTTATA